TTTAAAATAAATTTTCCTGTTTTTCCCTAGGGGGGGAAAATCGGTGGGCTTATATAATATTTCCTTGTGTTTTAGGGGGGTGACGGGTGGGGTTTTAATAAAAAAATTTCCTGGTGCTCTAGGGTGGGAATCTGTCTGGGTTTTTATATAATATTATACCCTGGGGTGTCTCTAGGGGGGTGAATCTGGGGGGGGGTTATAAAATAAATATCTGGGGGCCCCTGGGGAGGTGAACGGGCTGGGGTTTTAATTTTAAAAAATTCCTGTTTCCTTGGCTGGGTGTTAAAAATATATAATCCTGGGTCTCTGGAGGTGAATCTGGGGGGGGTTTAATAATAATATACCTTTGTCTCTGGGAGGGAATTGGCGGGGGTTTTTTATAAAATATATATTTGTTTCTCTAGGGTGGGGTTATATAATAAAAATTTCCTGTGGCCCGGGGATAGGGCTGGGGGTTATTAATATATATACCTTGTTCTCGGGAGGTAATCGGGGGGGGTTTTAAAATATATATATCCGGTGTCTTAGGGAGGTGAATCGGCTGGGGTTATAAATAATTATACCTGTGGTCTCTATGGGGGGGTTTATATATATTATCCTTGTGTTCTAGGGGGGGTAAATCGGGGGGGGGTTAATAAAATATATCCTGTGTGCCCTTTGGGGAGGGAATCGGGCGGGGGTTTATATAATTTTAATTCCTGTGTGTCTCTAGGGGGAAAAATTGGGGGGGTTATATAAAAAAACCGGTGTGTCTCTAGGGAGGTGAATCTGGCTGGGGGTTTTAAAAATTATATCCTGGTTTCTGGGGGAGGTGATCTGGCGGGGGGTTATTAAAAAATTTCCTTTGTTCAGGGGGGTGAATCGGCGGGGGTTTATAAAATATTGTTTCTTTTGTGCCCTTAGGGGGGTAATCTGCGGGGGTTTTATAATATAAACCCCGTTGTCCTAGGGAGGGAATCTGGTGGGGTTTAATATAAATTCCTGTGGTCCTAGGGGGGTGTTATAAAATTAATATATCCTGTGTGTTTAGGGGGGTGAATCTGGCGGGTTTTATAATATAAACCCTGTGGTCTCTAGGGAGTAATCGGGAGGTTAATAAAATATACCTGGGTGTCTCAGGGGGGAAAAGGGCTGGGGGTTATATAATTTAATCCGGTTTTGGGGAGGTGAATCGCGGGGGGTTATAATAAAAATCCTGGTGCCTGGGGAGGGAATCTGGCTGGGGGTTTTATAATAAAATTTCCCCTGTTGTCTCTAGGGGGGGGTTTTATTAATATAATACCTGTGGTCTCAGGGGGGTGAATCGGTGGGGGTTAAAAATATAATTGGTGTTTTGGGGAGGGAACGGCTGGGTGTTATTTTAAATATATCCTTTTTTGTCTCTAGGAGGGGAATCTGGCGGGGGTTTTAAAAATATTATCCTGTGTTCTCTAGGGAGGTAAATTGGGGGGGTTATATAATAATTACCTGTGGTTCTAGGGAGGTGATTTCGGCTGGCGTTATATTAAATATATCCTGTGTTTTCGGGGGGAGGTAAATCTGGCTGGGGTTATAATATATAATCCTGGGGGTCTCTAGGGAGGGAAACGGGGCTGGGGGTTATAAAAAATAATAACCTTTTGGGTGCTTAGGGGGGTAATCTGGCGGGGGTTATATAATAATATCCTGTGTTCTCTGGGAGGTGAATCTGGGGGGGGGGGGGTTAAAATAATATATATTGGGTCTCTAGGGAGGGAATCTGGGGGGTTTTAAATTAAAAATTATATCCTGGGTGCCCTCTAGGGGGGGAATCTGGCGGGGTTTATAATATTTTTCCTGTGTGTCTTTCTGGGGGGGTTTTGAACGGGGGGTGGGGTTAATAATTTTAAATATCCTGTGTGTCCGGGGGAGGTGAACTGGGGGGGGTTAAAATATATTATCCTGTGTTCTCAGGGAGGGGGAATCTGGCTGGGGGTTAAATAATATAAAATTCCTGTGTGTCTCTATGGCTGGGGGTTATATAATATATTTCCGTGTGTCCCCTAGGGGGGTAATCTGGCTGGGGGTATATAATATAACCCGGGGTTGTCTCTAGGGAGGTGAATCTGGCGGGTGTTTATAAAATTTTTAAATCCTTTTGTGTCTTATGGGCGGGGTTTTATTAAAAATTAACCTGTGTGTCTCTGGGGAGGGAAAATCTGGGGGGGGGTAAAAAATATATCCGTAGGGGTCTCTAGGAGGTTTTTGGGCGGGGTTTTTATAAATATATAATCCGGTGTTCTCAGGGGGGGGAATCGGGTGGGGGTTTATAAATATATCCGTGTGTCTCTAGGGAGGTGAATCTGGCTGGGGGTTATAATATATATATCCTGTGTGTCTCTAGGGAGGTGAATCTGGGTGGGGGTTTATATAAATAATATCGGGTCTCTGGGGAGGTAAACTGGTGGGGGTTATATATAATATCCGTGTGTCCTGGGGAGGTGAATCTGCGGGGGGTTTAATTATAAATCCTGTGTTCTTGGGGAGGTAAATTTTGGCGGGGGTTATTAATATAATCTTTGTCTCTGGGGAGGTGATCTGCGGGGGTTTATAAATATAATCCTTGTGTCCTAGGGGGTAAATTTGGCGGGGGGTTTATAATATAAACCCGTGTTCTCTAGGGGGGGAAAATCGGCTGGGTGTTATAAATTTATATCCTTTTGGGGGTTCTAGGGAGGTAAATGGGGCTGGGTTTTTATATAAATATATATCCTGTGTTCAAAGGGAGGGAATGGCTGGGGTTTAAATATATATACCTGTGTCCTAGTGAGGTGTGGCGGGGGGGTTATAAAATTTTTAACCGGGTTTGGGTTTTAGGGGGGTGAATCGGCTGGGGGTTAAAATATATACCCGTGTGTCTCTAGGCTGGGGGTTATATAATATTTTCCCTGGGGGCTCTGGGGAGGTGAATCTGCGGGGGGTTTTAATTATATTCCTGTGTCTCATGGGGGGGGGTTATATAATAATATATTCCTGGTTCTCTAGGGGGGGTAAATTTGGGCGGGGTGGTTTTTAAAATTTTAATATATCCGTTGCCCTAGGGGGGAATCTGGTGGGGGTTATAAAAATATATATCCGGTGTGTAAATCTAACTCCTGTCTGGATTCGGGTGGGGGGGGGGTCTCCTCTTCATGTTGCTGTTTCTTCTATGCCCCTGGAGGGGAGCTTTTTGGGGAAACGGGGTTAGTCACATGCGGGGTTGGGTGGAGCGTTTGGAAACTGGGTTGTCACAGTGCTTAGTGTGTGGTGGAGTTTTTTTTGGGAAACGGGGTTTATCACAGTGCGTAGGTTTAGGGGAGTGTTTGGGAAAACTGGGTTAGTCACAGTGCGGATGTGTGAGGGGACTTTTTTGGGAAACTGGGTTAGTCCCAGGCTGTGAGTGTTGTGGAGCGTTTGGGGAAAAATGGGTTAGTCACAGTGCTTGAGTGTGGGAGTGGACTTTTGGGGAAACGGGGTTATCACAGTGCTGTGATGTTGAGTGAGCTTTTTGGGGGAAACGGGGTTTCAAGTGGGGGAGGGTGGGAGTGGACTGTTTGGGAACGGGTTAGCCCACATGCTGTGATGGGGGGGAGTGAGTTTTTTTTGGGAACGGGTTAGTCACAGTGCTGTGGTGGTGAGTGAGCTTTTTGGGGAAACGGGGTTTCACAGTGCTGGGGTGGGGGGAGTGGAGCTTTTGGGGGAAACGGGGTTTTAGTCCAGGCTGTGAGTGGGGGAGGGGAGCGTTTTGGGAAACGGGGTTTTAGTCACGGGCTGGGTGTGGGAGTGGAGCTGTTTGGGAACTGGGTTAGTCACAGTGCTGTGAGTGTGGAGTGGAGCTGTTTGGGAAACTGGGTTAGTCACAGTGCTGTGAGTGTGTGAGTGGAGCTGTTTGGGAAACTGGGTTAGTCACAGTGCTGTGAGTGTGTGAGTGGAGCTGTTTGGGAAACTGGGTTAGTCACAGTGCTGTGAGTGTGTGAGTGGAGCTGTTTGGGAAACTGGGTTAGTCACAGTGCTGTGAGTGTGTGAGTGGAGCTGTTTGGGAAACTGGGTTAGTCACAGTGCTGTGAGTGTGTGAGTGGAGCTGTTTGGGAAACTGGGTTAGTCGAACAGTGCTGTGAGTGTGTGAGTGGAGCTGTTTGGGAAACTGGGTTAGTCACAGTGCTGTGAGTGTGTGAGTGGAGCTGTTTGGGAAACTGGGTTAGTCACAGTGCTGTGAGTGTGTGTGTGGAGCTGTTTGGGAAAACTGGGTTAGTCACAGTGCTGTGAGTGTGTGTGTGGAGCTGTTGGGAAACTGGGTTAGTCACAGTGCTGTGAGTGTGGGAGTGGAGCTGTTTGGGAAACTGGGTTAGTCACAGTGCTGTGAGTGTGGGAGTGGAGCTGTTTGGGAAACTGGGTTAGTCACAGTGCTGTGAGTGTGGGAGTGGAGCTGTTTGGGAAAACTGGGTTAGTCACAGTGCTGGAGTGTGTGTGTGGAGCTGTTTGGGAAACTGGGTTAGTCACAGTGCTGTGAGTGTGTGATCGAGCTGTTTGCCTGGAAATTCATGAATTGCATGTCAATGTATTGCGATGATTGTTCTAATCAGCCTCGGCTTCCTTCTCTGTACAGCATAGCTCTGGTCAATCTCTTTCTGTTTTTTTTCTATGATCTGAGAATAAGAGAGAAAAAGAGAGTAAATAAGATAAGACAGGAGTGCAGAAAAATGCAGAGAAACCGAGAGAAAGCGAAGGAGATAGAAAAAAAGAGCAAAGAGAAAAGCAGCGACCCAGAGCAAAGCCAGACCATAACTGAGAGAAAAAAAGAAGACACAAAAGACGAATACCGCCAGATAACCGGAAGCTCATGCGACTCGAACTATCCATCTCTCTCGATCATCCCCTACATAACCCCTCCTCCTCCCCTCCTCCTCTCTCTCTCTCTATCCTCCCCCTCCCCCCCACCCCCATCTCTCTCTCTATATCACCCCCCCCCTTTACCTCCCTCCATGTTTTCTCTGTGGTTCTAGAGTGTTCCGAGGAGAACCCGTGTGAGGGTCTGAGTCGTCACGCCACATTCCAGAACTTTGGCATGGCGTTCCTCACGCTGTTCCGCATTTCCACCGGTGACAACTGGAATGGAATCATGAAGGTAACGACCAATCAGAGCGTGATTTGTCAACCCAATCAGCCAGTCAGATCACAGCTGGGGGGGGGGGGGGGGAAACAGGGTTGATTGTAGACCTTGTTGGTTGCACACAGGTACAGAGAAAACCCCTCAGTATTAGAAAAAGAACAAGATGCAGAATTCTGCCATTCTTCTTCTAGCTTTTCCACAGGGTTGTAACCGTGCTCTAAATGCCAACTGGTGGGGAGCTTCTGTTTTAAGGCTTACAGCTGGCATTGTTTGGAGAACACAGAACACAACACATAACACTGTTCCCAGACGACTGTCTGTCGGTGGAACGCGATTCATAACCCAGTAAAACCGACACGGAACGTTGTGGAACCGACACGGAACGTTGTGGAACCGACACGGAACATTGTGGAACCTACACGGAATGTTGTGGAACCGACACGGAACGTTGTGGAACCGACACGGAACATTGTGGAACCTACACGGAACGTTGTGGAACCTACACGGAACGTTGTGGAACATACACGGAACGTTGTGGAACCTACACGGAACGTTGTGGAACATACGGAACTGTTGGGGAACCTAGAGAATCGGGAGGAACCTCATTGGCTGACCACCCTCTCCCGGCTGTTGAAAGGTTTAAACCATGGCGCCCCCCCCAAAAAAAAAAAAACCCGGCGGGAAAAAAAAACCCCCCCAAAAAGGCGGGAAAGGGAAAAACCCCCCAAAAAAAAACCCCCCCAAAAAAACCCCCCCCCCTTTTGGAAAGGGGGAAAAGCAAAAAAAAAAGGGGGGGGGAAAACCCCCCAAAAAGGAGGGCAAAAAAAGAAAACAAACAGAGACGACGAGCAAAGTCTAAAGGAGACCCCTCAGGAAGGTAGAGTATATCTCGATAAACCAGGAAGACGAGAAGGAAACAGAAAGTGCCCCGACCTAGACAAACGGAACTGGAGATGGAAAAAAAAAAAAAAAAAAAAAAAAAAAAAAAAAAAAAAAAAAAAAAAAAAAAAAAAAAAAAAAAAAAAAAAAAAAAAAAAAAAAAAAAAAAAAAAAAAAAAAAAAAAAAAAAGTATCATTCTTTCCCCCAGGACACGTTGCTCCTGCCCCAATAGTATCAACTCTCTCTCTCCCCTCCAGGACACTTGCTCCTGCCCCAATAGTATCAACCTCTCTCCCCCTCCAGACACGTTGCCCCGCCCCAATAGTAACTCTCCTCCTCCCCTCCAGGACACGGCTACCGCCCCAATAGTATCAAACTCTCTCTCTCCCTCAGGACACGTGCCCTGCCCAATAGTATCAACTCTCTCTTCCCCTCGGAACTTCCCCTGCCCCAATAGTATCAACTCTCTCTCTCTCTCCCTCAGGACACGGTTGTTGTCCTGCCCCAATAGTATCAAATCTCTCTCCTCCCTCCGGGACACGTTGCTCCCTGCCCCAATAGTATAAAACTCTCTCTCTATCCCGCCAGGACCGTTGCTCCTGCCCCAATAGTATCACTCTCTCTCTCCCCTCCAGGACACGTTGCTCCCTGCCAATAGTATCAACTCTCTCTTCACCCTCCAGGACAGTTGCTCCCTGCCCCATAGTACAAACTCTCTCTTCCCTCCAGGACACGTTGCTCCTGCCCCAATAGTATGAACCTCTCTCTCTCCCCTCCAGGACAAGTTGCTCCCTGCCCCAATAGTATCAACTCTCTCTCTCCCCCCAGGACACGTTGCTCCCTGCCCCAAAGTTGTATTCAACTCTCTCTCTCTTCCCTCAGGACACGTTGCTCCCTGCCCCAAATAGTATCACTCTCTCTTCTTCCCCCTCCAGGAACGTTGCTCCTGCCCCAATAGTATCAACTCTCTCTCTCACCCTCCAGGACAACGTTGCTCCTGCCCCATAGTATAACTCTCTCTCTCTCTCACCTCCAGGAACGTTGTCCTGCTCCAATAGTTCAACTCCTCTCCTTCCCCTCCAGGACACGTTGCTCCCTGCCCCAATGTACCCAACTCTCTCCCTCCCCTCCAGGAACGTTGCATCCCTGCCCCATGTATACAATCTCTCTCTCCCTCCAGGACACCGTTCCCTCCCTGCCCCAATAGTATCATCTTCTCTCTATCCCCTCCAGGACCCGTTGCTCTCTGCCCAATAGTATCAACTCTCTTCTCTCTCTCCCTCCAGGACACGTTGCTCCCTGCCCCAATAGTATCAACTCTCTCTCCTCCTCCCTCCAGGACACGTTGCTCCTGCCCCAATAGTATCAACTCTCTCTCTCCCTCCCCAGGACACGTTGCTCCCTGCCCCAATAGTATCAAATTCTTCTTCTCCTCCAGGACACGTTGGCTCCCTGCCCAAGTATTAACAACTCTCTCTCTCCCCTCCAGGACACGTTTGCTCCTGCCCCAATAGTATAACTCTCTTCGCCTCTCCCTCGGACACTTTGGGCTCCCTGCCCCAATAGTATCAACTCTCTCTCTCCCCTCCAGGACACGTTGCTCCCTGCCCCAATAGTATCAACTCTCTCTCTCCTCCCCTCCAGGACACGTTGCTCCCTGCCACAATAGTATCAACTCTCTCTCTCCCCCTCCAGGACACGTTGCTCCTGCCCCAATAGTATCAACTCTTCTCTCTCTCCCTCCAGGACACGTTGCTCCCTGCCCCAATAGTATCAACTCTCTCCCTCCCCCTCCAGGACACGTTGCTCCCTGCCCCAATAGTATCAACTCTCTCTCTCCCTCCCCTCCAGGACACGTTGCTCCCTGCCCCAATAGTATCAACTCTCTCCCTCCCCTCCAGGACACGTTGCTCCCTGCCCAATAGTATCAACTCTCTCTTCCCTCCCCTCCAGGACACGTTGCTCCCTGCCCCAATAGTATCAACCTCTCCTCTCCCCCTCCAGGACACGTTGTATGCCCCCAATAGTATCAACTCTCTCCTCCCCTCAGGACACGTTGCTCCCTGCCCAATAGTATCAACTCTTCTCTCCTCCCTCAGGACACGTTGCTCCCTGCCCCAATAGTATCAACTCTCTCTCTCTCCCCTCCAGGACACGTTGCTCCCTGCCCCAATAGTATCAACTCCTCTCTCCTCCCCTCCAGGACACGTTGCTCCCTGCCCCAATAGTATCAACTCTCTCTCTCCCCTCCAGGACACGTTGCTCCCTGCCCCAATAGTATCAACTCTCTCCCTCCCCTCCAGGACACGTTGCTCCCTGCCCCAATAGTATCAACTCCCCTCTCTCCCCTCCAGGACACGTTGCTCCCTGCCCCAATAGTATCAACCTCTCTCTCTCCCCCCCCAGGACACTTTGGGCTCCTGCCCCAATAGTATCAACTTCTCTCTCTCCCCTCCAGGCAACGTTGCTCCCTGCCCCAATAGTATCAACTCTCTCCTCCCCCCCCCCAGGACACGTTGCTCCCTGCCCCAATAGTATCAACTCTCTCTCCCTCCCCTCCAGGACACGTTGCTCCCTGCCCCAATAGTATCAACTCTCTCTCCCTCCCCTCCAGGACACGTTGCTCCCTGCCCCCAATAGTATCAATCTCTCTCCCTCCCCTCCAGGACACGTTGCTACCTGCCCCAATAGTATCAACTCTCTCTCTCCCCTCCAGGACACGTTGCTCCCTGCCCCAATAGTATCAACTCTCTCTCTCTCCCCTCCAGGACACGTTGCTCCCTGCCCCAATAGTATCAACTCTCTCTCTCCCTCCCCTCCAGGACACGTTGCTCCCTGCCCCAATAGTATCAACTCTCTCTCTCTCCCCCCTCCAGGACACGTTGCTCCCTGCCCCAATAGTATCAACTCTCTCTCTCCCCTCCTCCAGGACACGTTCCCTCCCTGCCCCAATAGTATCAACTCTCTCCTCTCCTCCAGGACACGTTGCTCCCTGCCCCAATAGTATCAACTCTCTCTCCTCCCCTCCAGGACACGTTGCTCCCTGCCCCAATAGTATCAACTCTCTCTCTCTCTCCCCTCCAGGACACGTTGCTCCCTGCCCCAATAGTATCAACTCTCTCTCTCCCCTCCAGGACACGTTGCTCCCTGCCCCAATAGTATCAACTCTCTCTCTCTCTCCCCTCCAGGACACGTTGCTCCCTGCCCCAATAGTATCAACTCTCTCTCTCCCTCCAGGACACGTTGCTCCCTGCCCCAAATAGTATCAACTCTCTCTCTCCCTCCCCTCCAGGACACGTTGCTCCCTGCCCAATAGTATCAACTCTCTCTCCTCCCCTCCAGGACACGTTGCTCCCTGCCCCAATAGTATCAACTCTCTCTCCCTCCAGGACACGTTGCTCCCTGCCCCAATAGTATCAACTCTCTCTCCTCCCTCCAGGACACGTTGCTCCCTGCCCCAATAGTATCAACTCTCTCTCCCCCCTCCAGGACACGTGCTCCCTGCCCCAATAGTATCAACTCTCTCTCTCCTCCCCTCCAGGACACGTTGCTCCCTGCCCAATAGTATCAACTCTCTCTCTCCCTCCCCTCCAGGACACGTTGCTCCCTGCCCCAATAGTATCAATCTCTTCTCTCCCCTCCAGGACACGTTGCTCCCTGCCCCAATAGTATCAACTCTCTCTCTCCCCCCTCCAGGACACGTTGCTCCTGCCCCAATAGTATCAACTCTCTCTCTCTCCCCTCCAGGACACGTTGCTCCCTGCCCCAATAGTATCAACTCTCTCTCTCCCTCCCCTCCAGGACACGTTGCTCCCTGCCCCAATAGTATCAACTCTCTCTCTCCCCTCCAGGACACTTGCTCCCTGCCCCAATAGTATCAACTCTCTCTCTCCCTCCCTCAGGACACGTTGTCCTGCCCATAGTATAAAACTCTCTCCTCCCCTCCAGGACACGTTGCTCCCTGCCCCAATAGTATCAACTCTCTCTCTCCCCTCCAGGACACGTTGCTCCCTGCCCCAATAGTATCAACTTCTCTCCCTCCCCTCCAGGACACTTGCTCCTTTGCCCCAATAGTATCAACTCTCTCTCTCTCCCCTCCAGGACAGTTGCTCCTGCCCAATAGTATCAACTCTCTCTCTCCCCTCCAGGACACGTTGCTCCCTGCCCCAATAGTATCAACTCTCTCTCTCCCCTCCAGGACACGTTGCTCCCTGCCCCAATAGTATCAACTCTCTCTCTCCCTCCAGGACACGTTGCTCCCTGCCCCAATAGTATCAACTCCTCTCTCTCTCTCCCCCAGGACACGTTTGCTCCCTGACCCCAATAGTATCAACTCTCTCCTTCCCCTCCAGGACACGTTGCTCCCTGCCCCAATAGTATCAACTCTTCTCTCCCCTCCAGGACACGTTGCTCCCTGCCCCAATAGTATCAACCTCTCTCTATCTCCCTCCAGGACACGTTGACCTGCCCCAATAGTATCAACTCTCTCTCTCTCTCCCCTCCAGGACACGTTGCTCCCTGCCCCAATAGTATCAACTCTCTCTCTCTCTCCCCTCCAGGACACGTTGCTCCCTGCCCCAATAGTATCAACTCTCTCTCTCCTCCCTCCAGGACAACGTTGCTCCTGCCCCAATAGGATCAACTCTCTCTCCCCCTCCAGGACACGTTGCTACCTGCCCCAATAGTATCAACTCTCTCTCTCCCCTCCAGGACACGTTGCTCCTGCCCCAATAGTATCAACTCTCTCTCTCTTCTCCCTCCGGGACACGTTGCTCCCTGCCCCAATAGTATCAACTCTCTCTCTCCCCTCCAGGACACGTTGCTCCCTGCCCCAATAGTATCAATCTCTCTCTCCCTCCTCTCCAGGACACGTTGCTCCCTGCCCCAATAGTATCAACTCCCCTCTCTCTCCCTCCAGGACACGTTTGCTCCCTGCCCCAATAGTATCAACTCCCTCTCTCCCCTCCAGGACACGTTGCTACCTGCCCCAATAGTATCAACTCTCTCCCCCTCCCAGGACACGTTGCTCCCTGCCCCAATAGTATCAACTCTCTCTCTCCCCTCCAGGACACGTTGCTCCCTGCCCCAATAGTATCAACTCTCTCTCCTCTCCCCTCCAGGACACGTTGCTCCCTGCCCCAATAGTATCAACTCTCTCTCTCTCCCCTCCAGGACACGTTGCTCCCTGCCCCAATAGTATCAACTCTCTCCCTCCCCTCCAGGACAACGTTGCTCCCTGCCCCAATATATCAACTCTCTCTCTCCCCTCCAGGACACGTTGCTACCTGCCCCAATAGTATCAACTCTCTCTCTCCTCCCCTCCAGGACACGTTGCTCCCTGCCCCAATAGTATCAACTCTCTCTCTCCTCCCCTCCAGGACACGTTGCTCCTGCCCCAATAGTATCAACTCTCCTCTCCTCTCCCCTCCAGGACACGTTGCTACCCGCCCCAATACTATCAACTCTCTCTCTCCCCTCCAGGACATGTTGCTCCCTGCCCCAATAGTATCAACTCTCTCTCTCCCCCCCCAGGACACGTTGCTCCCTTCCCCAATAGTATCAACTCTCTCTCTCCCCTCCAGACAGTTGCTCCCTGCCCCAATAGTATCAACTCTCTCTCTCCCCCTCCAGGACACGTTGCTCCCTGCCCCAATAGTATGAACTCTCTCTCTCTCTCCCCTCCAGGACACGTTGCTCCCTGCCCCAATAGGATCAACTATCTCTCTCTCTCCCCTCCAGGACACGTTGCTCCCTGCCCCAATAGTATCAACTCTCTCTCCCCCTCCAGGACACGTTGCTCCCTGCCCCAATAGTATCAACTCTCTCTCTCTCTCTCCCTCCATCTCTCTCTCCCCCTCTCCCCCCCCCAACCAGGACACGTTGCGTGAGTGTCTTCCAGAGGAGCACTCCTGTCTGACCTACCTTCCCCTGGTGTCCCCTGTCTACTTCGTGACCTTCGTCCTCACGGCCCAGTTCGTGCTGGTCAACGTGGTGGTGGCGGTGTTGATGAAACACCTGGAGGAGAGCAACAAGGAGGCGCAGGAGGAGGCGGAGGAGGAGGCCAAAGAGGAGGAGGCTAGGCAACAGGAGGAGGCCAGACAAGAGGAGGCCTCCGCCACTTAGGCCGCCTCAGTAGGGCGAATCGTCTGGACAGGACGGAGAGGATCACCAGTGTGGAAAGGACAAGTTGGATCCAAACAAAATCCTCAGGTCTCCCTTCCGCTAGTCTTGTGACGTAAGGGGAACACTGTACCCTGGGTTGGGGGGGGGGGGCCTGGTGGTGTGGTGTGGTGGGGGGGATACGATAACTCCCGTCGCCCTCGTATAGTGTCGGGGGTGTAGATCGCCTGTTGGTGGTTGGGGGGGGGGATGGTGGTGGTTTGGGGTGGTGGTGGTGGGTATCTCCCTCGTTCTCTCGACTGGCAGGGGGTGACATAACATCTGACCCTGTATCAGTGGTTAGGGAGGGGGGGGTGGTGGTGGTGTTGGTGGTGGTGTAGTCACTTCCGGATTCTATCGATGTCATGGGTGTGAATAAATGACGATAGTGGTTAGGGAGGGTGGGGATGGTGGTGGTGGTGTGGTGGTGGTGGGATGATCTGCGTGTCATTCTATGATGGCTGGTGGACAACACGTGACCCTGTATCAGTAGGTAGGAGGGGGGTGGGCGTGGGGGTGGTGGGTCCTGTATTTGATAACCAACTAGGATATGTTCGGGAAGGTATGGTAGTGGTGTGGTGTCGGTGGTGTGTTGGTGATGGGTGTGCTTAGGACTAATTGGGTACATGGTATTAGGTGCGTCTGGTGGTGTGGTTGCTGGTTGCACGGCAGGGTGTGGTTATTCCCTGGGGACCAGTTGAAATATGCACTCCCTGTAAGTGGCCTGGGTAAGCTCTCAAGATAAATTAAAAACATTATGAATGTATGTTTTTGTCCGTTGACAGGGGTTGTCTGGTAGCCTCCCCCTTGGCCGCCTTGTCGTATGTTCTCAGCCTAGCGACGCTACATCTCCGCCTATCGCCTCGACACCCCGTCACCTCAGGCACACACCTCGGGTAGTTCAGGAACAGTCCTCAGAGTTTCGAATCTGTTTCTAGGTCTCAGAGTTCTAGGTGTCAGATTCTAGGTGTCAGGGTTCTAGGTCTCAGAGTTCTAGGTGTCAGGGTTCTAGGTCTCAGAGTTCTAGGTGTCAGGGTTCTAGGTCTCAAAGTTCTAGGTCTCAGATTTCTAGGTCTCAGAGTTTTAGGTTTCAGAATTTTAGGTCTCAGAGTTCTAGGTTTCAGAGTTTTAGGTCTCAGAGTTTTAGGTCTCAGAGTTCTAGGTCTCAGAGTTCTATGTGTCAGGGTTCTAGTTCTCAGAGTTTCTAGTCTCTGCTCTGTGTCCTCCTAGGTTTCTGTTTCCTCCATGGGTTCTAGTGGAGCAGGATCTCTACTGCAGGTCCCGGGGGCTTTACCATCGGGAAGCCGCGCGTCCCTCAGCTCCAGGGGATCCAGCTGCAGACCCACGGTCAGGCTCAGCCCCTCCCACAGCGTGGACAGACACTCCCTCTCCATGGGAAGACACACCCCCAGGAGGCCCAGCGATGTTGAGGGCAGACGAGCGTCGTTTATCAGTAGTTCTTACTACACCCACAGCATGGACACACATAGTCACAGACTCAGCCCGGCTCCAGGAGCATGGGACAACACATAGTTTACAGACTCACAGGCCCTGCGCGAGCATCGACACACAATAGTTACAGACTCAGCCCTGCTCAGAGCATCGACACACATAGTTACAGACTCAGCCCTGCTCAGAGCATCGACACACATAGTTACAGACTCAGCCCTGCTCAGAGCATCGACACACATAGTTACAGACTCAGCCCTGCTCAGGAGCAATCGACACAACATAGTTTACAGCACTCAGGCCCTGCTCACAAGCAGTTGACGGTCAGACAACGCCCCTTTATATCAGCAGCCCCCCGCCCAGCACAACCGCGTCAATAGACACACCCCTCCTAACAATAGACACGCCTCTAATATGAGTAGCCCCTCCCACGGTATGGACAGACAGCCCCGACCCAGCTCCTCCCTCGGTGTGAGCAGACAGCTGAGGAGACAGGTATGTAGACTATGTACACAGCAGCTCTTACCCAGCTAGCGTATTAGGTTCCCTGGATGTTTCCGCGAACGTCTGTATTTTTTGGGGGGGAACCTTGCGTGCAAGTTGTTAGAATGTTTTGTGCTAGCTGGGGAAACTTTACAGTCCAGGCCAGATCTAACTGCATTCACCTTCAACTGTCATTTGATTTGATGTTCAAAAACAGTCCCAGTGACCTCTGACCCTCTGTTTCCTGTCTCTACTTCCTAACTTCCTGTCTGTCTGTAGGAGGCGGTGCGTTGTGACTCTGAGGACCCGAGCTGCAGTTCCACCGACTGATCTGCGGGGGAGCTCTGTCGACGCCGCCTACCTCACCGTACCCAGTGTGCACCTCTCACCACTACCCAGCCTGCCCCCTGGTGGCAACACACACCTGGACGTGCACCTCCCACCACTACCCAGCCCGCCCCCCTGGTGGCAACACACACCTGGACGTGCACCGCCCCTCCTCGCCCTCCCTCTCCCCCCGAGGACGCACCTCCAGCGCACACACACTCCGCCACACACACACCGTACACACACTGAGCCGCGCACACCGTCAGAGGGTTATATCTACCAGAGGACACAGTAGGAGCCACAGTGATAGTGGCCCCAGCAGCCCCCCCCCGGCCCCCAGCAGCCCCCCCCCGGCCCCCAGCAGCCCCCCCCCCCCCCGAAGACCCCCCAGCCCCAGCATCCCCCCCCCGCCCCCAGCACCCCCCCCCTTGCCCGCCCAAAGGGCCCACCCCCCCCCGGCCCCACAGCCCCCCCCCCCCCCACCCCCCCCGCCCCCACCCCCCTCGGCCCTCAGCACTCCCACACACCCAGAGGCCGAGATGCCCCAGACCCAACCCCAGGGCCCATCTCTCTCTGCTCTGGAGGTCCCCAGCCGTCCTTTTCCCCTCCCGCCTTTCCCCACACCCCAACCCCCGCCCCCAGCCCACCTCCCATCTCTACTCCCTCCACTCCCCAGAGGCCTGAGATGCCCCAGACCCCAGACCCCAGGCCCATCTCTCTCTGCTCTGGAGGTCCCAGCTGTCCCTCTCCTCCCCCTCCAAAAACCCCAACCCCCAGCCGCAACCCCTCGTTTCCCCTCTACTCCCTCCACTCCCCAGAGGGGCCTGAGATGCCCCAGACCCCAGACCCCAGGCCCATCTCTCTCTGCTCTGGAGGTCCCAGCCTGTCCCTCTCCTCCCCCTCCACACCCTCAACCCCCAGCCCCAACCTCGCCATCTCTACTCCCTCCACTCCCCAGAGTCCTCAGACCAGCTTTGACCCTGACCAGAACTCCACACCCCAGAGTCCCAGTACCCCCCCCCCCCCTTGCCCCCCCACCCCCAAAACCCCCGGTCCGTCGCCGACCCTCAGTAACCCGCCCTGGTTCCGTCCCCCTGACCCTCATTACCAGCCTAGCCCTCCCCCCCATCCCTTCTAATGAACAATGATGAAGTCGGTCGCATTACCACTACACACACACACCTGAACACACACACCACGCGTCCAGCCCTCCACACACACCCCGCTCCAACAACACAACCTAACCACACACCACCTCCACCCCCCACACCCCAAACCCGCCCAACACACCCCCCAACCCCCCCGCCACCTCCACCCCCCACCCCCCCCCCCACCCCCCTCCCCCCCACCACCCCCCCCACCCCCCCCCCACCCCGCCCACCCTCCCACCCCCCCCCCCCCACCCCACCCCCCACCCACCGCCCCCCCCACAATCCCCCGCCCCACCCCCCTGAACCCCCCCTGCCCCCCCCCCACAAAAAACCCCCTCCCCCCCCCCCCCCCCCACCACGCTTCCTTCCCCCCCACCCCCCCTTTCCCTCCCCCCCCCACCCCCCACGTCCCCCCCCCCCCCTCCCCCCCCCCAACCCCAACCCCCCCCCCCCACCCTCCCCCCCCAAACCCCCCACCCCCTCCCACACCCCCTCCCCCCACCCCCCCCCCACCCCCCCTCCCCCCCCCCCCCTGAGCCCCCCCCGGCTCTCCCCCCTCCCCCACACACCCCCCCCCAACCCCCCCCACCCCCCTTCTACCGTTCCCCCCACCCCCTTAACGGCCACCCAAACCCCCCCAGCCAGCCCCCACACCACCCCGGGCCCCAAAAACCACCCTTAACCCCCCCCCCTCCCTCACCCCCCTCTCCACAACACCAACCTAACACACACCCCCCCCGAGCCCCCCCCCAACCCACCTTAACCCCCCCACCACGGTCCATCCCCCAACCCACACCCCCCCTCCCACCCCCCCACCTTAACACCACACCACCTCCAACCCTCCCCACACCCCGCTCACACCACCACCTAAACCCCCACCTTTTAACACCCCCCACACAACCCCCTCCCCCACACACCCTAACCCCACACCACTCTCCAGCCCTCCACACACACCCCCGCTCCACAACACAAACAAACCCCTTACCCCCCCACCCTCCTACACCCCCAAAAACCCCCCCCCCACCCACGCCCCCTTTCCCCCACCCCCCCTCCAAAAGGCCAAACCTTCCCCCAAACCCTCCTTTCTGGCCCAAGGCTCCCCCCCCCCCCCTTCCCCCCTTCAAGCCCTTTTCCACGGTGCCCCCCGTTTCCCCACTCCAACCCCTGTCTTCTCCGCCCCCTCGGCCGCCCCGAACCCTTTCCCCCCCTTTCCTCCCCCAATTACCACTTTGCATCACTTTTCCCTCGGTGCCCCAAAATTTTTAGACAAGCCCCCTCGAGGGGAGGGGAAGACGGGGGGAGACCCCCGAATCTCTTCCCCGCTGGGGGGTTTTCCCAACCCTTCAAAAGGGGGAACTTGAGATGCACCCATCCGGGCCCGGGGGGGAAAAAACCCCTTGACCCAACCCAAGAAATTTTTTCCCCTTTTTCCAACCCCCTTAAAGATCGGGGGATGCACGGGGGTTTTGTCCAGCCCCCGGGGGGGAAAGGGGCTTGATTCATCCTCGCTTTTATTAAGGGTTCCCCAACCCCCTACCCCTTAACCCGACTCCCAAAAAAAAATGGTTTCTTTTTACCCTCCTCCTGAAGGGGGCAAGGGGGTTTTTCACCCGGGACGAATGATAGCCAAGGGGGACCCTTTTCCCCCCCCTCCAAAACCCCATTTAAAGGGGCGTTGGCCTTTCTAC